CCGATTTAATGAGGAACATTATAAAAACAGCTCATAGGAGAATTGTAAGTCTGTTATGTTACTGACTGCATGCCAGGGATTACTGGCTGAGTCAGTAGTCAAACTGGAAAAGTTGACTCCAAAAGCTCCTGAAGGGACTGTTGCTGTTTGTTTGTTTTAAATACAACAACATTTCTACTTAGAAGTGTTCAGCAACAGTTACCCCTTACCATTATGATTAAAAAAATACTGCAATTTAAGTCTAACATGATAGCATGATGATAATCTCTTCTTGGTTACACTATTTCCATCAATCTGTATTGCTTTCCTCAGGAGGCTGCAGAGTGGTTCTCTAGAATCTGATGTGAAATACACACGGGACGTTTTCTACACCACTTTCCTGTCATGAATGTTATTACATTCACTTATTGTTCATTTCCTTTATTTTGAGTCGGGGGAGAAGAAAAATGGACTCAATTGAGAAGACTTACCCAGCCAATAGTGCAGGTGGTAGAAAAAGCTCTTCTTCTGCTGGATAGTTTTTAGTGCTGCGAGCGATCACATACGATCTTCCGAGTGCTAAAAGGGCTCCCATGCCCAGCGCATCTCTGGCCCCCCCACAGCGCGACCAGCTCCAGAACTCTCAATCCCCAATAAACCTGCAGGCGCCTGCCTGCTTCTTCCCCTGCTTTTGGGTGAAGCCTCTGTGTGTGTGGGTGGAGCAACCATGGTCTGCTGGCTGCTTAGGCCTGTGAGGATTGGTGTGCAGCGATCCCAGGCCGAGGCGTGGGGCAGCAGGAGCGAACACACTGCTGCTTCTCGTTCCTGGAGCACTCGACAGACTGCTAGGTGTAGCAGCAGTTGCTTTCTCACTTCTGCCTTTCTCTCCCTTGGCCTTAGACACATCACCACAGTGGGCCTGGTCCACATGCTGCCCAACATACACCACACCAGCATCCTAAACACACATGAATCGGCAAGCCTTTTTCAGCCCACTCATGTCGTATACGTACTACACACACACAACACACACAGCACACACACACACACACACACACACACAAACAACACAGGAAGTATATACCGCTTGCATGTTTTAAGGCTAAATGAAACAACATTACTTTGGATAATTTCGCATAACTTATAATAATATAATGTCATGTAATTAAAAGCATAATTTTTAAACACATTTCGCCCACATGCCCATTGTATGCGATTAAAGCTTAAATTTTTGGGGGCCCCACTTGGGCCAGCCAACATTGACAAACATTTAAAATCGTTATCCCCTGTCAAATGCCTAACGCCTCCGCCCAAACAGTTGTCTATTACACAGCCAGCAGTCACGCAGCAACTATCATTCATTTGCCGAGGGCCATGTTTGGCTTGTCCAAGCTTGAGTGTTAAACTGAGTAACAGCTTCTGCATTCAAATTTCTATGGAACACTGTCGTATGCTTGGTGTGCCTATATAGGCTGATTGTGTACTGTGTATCATCCCAACAGCTTTTTCCAACAATGTGTCAAACTCAGAGAAATCTGTTCATTTTATTCAGGTTAACGCCCCTGCCTGTTTCACTGTCGCCCTGGCAATGGCGTCATATCCCCTTTGGTGCATGCGTCAGCGTTGGTCGGCTTGCTGCCAAGAAGCTGCTCATATACATGACTGTTTATCCAGTCTGCCCACATTTTACCATCCACTGTTTAGGATTCTTAGGCTGCTTTTCTAACTCTAGCATTTGAACCGGATGGGAAGGGATTGTTGAATCAGCTTTGGACGTCTGGATTTTCAGCGTATCAGAGAAACGAGCTGAGCGCTAACCGTGTAGGCACGCAGCTCAGCTCGCCAGGGCCACCTCCAGGACGCTTCCTTGCCTCGTCAACAGTTCGCGGCGAGCCGGAGCAAGCCAGGCTGATTTTTAATGTGGAACTGCTTAATTCAGTGTTTTTAGCGATTTTAATCAGTGGGGAATCAAAAAGTTATTTTTATAATAGTTACAAACCGCAGCTTTAAATGAAACTTTACACTACTAGCATATTTTCTCTGTTCATTAAGTATTCAATCTGGCAATCTGATCTACAATCAGAAAAGCTGTATTTATTCCTACTTAGGTATAATACAAAAGGGCTCAGTAGAAGAGTTCAAGAGTTGGTTTCTGTTAGACTGTTCCAAACTGCTCAGCACTTAAGACATAAAATATTCCATTATTACTAAATAAAAAATGAATGGTCTGGACCACACGGTGCCTGGATTTAATGGGTGGTTGCTCTACCATCAGAAATATATTTTATTTCGGGATATTTCCATTGCCTGTGTAAACTCATGCTTTTATTCATTGACTTACTTCTAATACATTTCATGGTGGTTTATTAAGTGGCACTGAGGTTAAAGGCAGGAAACTGCCATCTGGTATGACTTCCTCTGAGCCTGAGCCTACTGCATCAGAGTGCAAACAGTTTACCTCCATACTGGTGTAAAAAGAGATGCTTGGTCCGCTGCAATGTCTAAGATATACTCTGCACTATAAGTAGCCCATTTCTCTGGTTTTGAATGTACAGTACGAAGTATCACAGAGTTGATTTTTGCCGTGTAAAGACTTGGTCGCCGGTTGCAACAGTAGACTTAAAGTTAAGCACGGTGAGAGCAAATAGAGCAGGGAGTGACAGTAAGAATGTCCCTAAAGGTAAATATGTAAGTACACGTGGATGCTGGAGGTAAGCAGACCTGATACAGCGCTAGAATGTGAACATAACTTTGCGGTTGCAGACTAAAGGCAAGATAATAAAGAGTGCACTGGCAGTTTTAATACAGAGCTTAATGCTTAAATGGCTATGAGAAAGTCTGTGTACTTAAATCACTGGATGCAAATTCTTATTATAACATTGTGAGACATTATTAATTTCACTCAAGTGTGATTTGTGCAGATTAACACACAACTCTTCCCCAACCACTCTCACCATATCTCTCTGATACTGTTTTGTTGTCTGCCCGCTATACTTTTGTTTCTCTTCTTTGGTACATAAACAGGGAAGCAAAGCAGTTCTGAGACAGGCATGGTTGAGGGGTCATGCAATATCATATAGTAAATATCCATAAGAAACACTTGGAGAATCCTCAAAACACTCCATATAAAAGAATTACTTGGCATATGTCATGTTTGCAGTTGCGCCTTACTGTTGTGATCGCAACAGGGTAACTTGTTGGAGTGACTAATATCCCTATGTAAGAACGGTTGGTACAATTTAATCACACTAAGCTCAAACTCATATTACTTGTACAGTTAGTTATAGAATACTCGGTTATGCCCAGGCTTTCTGGCCACAGCTAACAACATTGAGTATTCAGCGCCACTTTAATGGGGATGATCAAATAAATGGCGCTCCTCTAGAGAAATCAATCTTATTTTAAATCAATACAAATATATTTACATCTCACAGACAAAAGCAAGAAAATATGCATGTAAAACAACCACGCATACTCACAACAACCGAAGAAATATGATCCTGTTCTTCATCCACTGCTGGAATTTTTCTGTCCCCATGTAAGTCAGACCTGTTTTGACAATACTTATGGAATTTAGACCGACGCTTTGTGTCCCAAAGGTTCAGCCCACCAACCCAAAGCTTAAGTATATGATGACCAGAGAATGAGACTCAACAATCAACTATCTTTTTTGGCTCTGATTGGTTGTTCTTTGTTCAGGCCCGGTGCGGATTCTGCTGGAAATGCCATTAGAGCACTACGGAGGAGCCACGAGGGAACCTGATTGTTTTACAGATTATCTGTCTCCAGGCTACTACTGTCAGGATCATAGGTGAAAGTTTCAGCAAATATGACAAAGGTTATTTTTATAAAAGTTACCTACTGCAGCTTTAAGGTTGCCTCTGCATAATTTGATATTTAAAATTTTCTTCTTCTACACTGGTGTTATTCTTTAGACTTGAGCACAGCTCTGCTGTTTTAGTCCAGATTTTAGTGTTGCTATCTTCCTCCTTACAACTCTGGGATGTTCTAATTTTGGTCTGGAGTTAGATGACGTTCTAGTGAAAGCCTTCAGTCTCCTGTAATATTTGAAGTACACAAACAAATCGTTTGCCAGAGCCAGAGAGAGATCATTCGAGCTGTTTAGAGTCGAACCGTCATGCAAATCCACCTCCTTAGTGACTTCAGTGTGATATGAGGTTTGGTGTTATCACATGACCAGCAGTAGTCACCCCAATCTGAGTACATTTGTATATCAGGATCGACAGTCTTGCACAACAGCTGATTCAGTTTATTTAAACAGATGTTCTACGCCGATAACTCGCGTGATTAATCACATGATGAAGAGGATGCAGTGTCAGTTTCACGTGAGTAATGTTACTGTCCTCTGTGTCACACCACTGGCAGCTGCAGTTCACTCAGGGAGAACAGCAAGATGTTGGACCTGATGCTAAATGTTTTTATTCTCTCAGACCGGAGAATGGCTGTTGTTTCAGTGGACACATATTGAAATCAGATTAGGCAGTTTAGAACAGCCGGGTTCTCAAAACGCAGTATTCTGAAAATATTCTGTTACAAACATCATACAAAAAAACATTTCTAAACATTTTATATCATCTTTGGTGCTGACAGCCAGACAACAAATGAAGTCCTGAAATCTGCTCTCTTCTTATCAAACGCTTGCACACATTTGCAGGCACCTTTGCAATTATTTTGCACCAAACGAAATACATTTGAAAAAATGTATCAGAAATGCATCAGGACAGTGATTTCAAGGGGCGTGGCCTCGACACCAAACAAAGTAGCAGGAACTGCGAGCTGGAAGTCAGAGTCTGTGTCCACGCTGGAAACAGAGTCCGCTGGAGCTCTTACAGTCACTACAAACACATTCACGGCCGTTATAAATGTTTCTGTGCGGTGCCTGTGTTGTATGTTTGTAGCTGAGCTAGCAGCTGTGTTGTAGCTAAGCTAGTGGCTCAGAGAGGCTAACTCTCTGGTATGTGTGTGTGTGCGTGGGATCAAGGTAAAGACTGCACAGATAATCATGTTTTAAAACTTTATTCATGCTCCCACAAGAAACAGTCACTATGAATAATGACAAACAAAATGTTTAGTGACATTAGAGGTAGTCTAAATTAGAGGCGTCTAAAACAGCTTTTCAAATGTTAAATGTTAATAAGGTTAGAATTAAAAGAACTAATCATAAATGTGCTTTTCTTCAAATCCCACTCGGTACAAATGTTACAGCTGTAGTTTATCAAAGTCTGTATGAAGATATTATTAAGATCATTTCTAAGTATTTACAGGATGTTGATATAAATCATACACAATTTTAGATATGCCAAATGTTATTGAAATTCAAAATAGGTCTGGTACACAACTCGACAACATTCGGTCAAAGATGAAAAAATATACGACTTTTTAATCAACAAAATAAATTAGATGGAATGTTGGAGAAAATATCGGTATTTTCATTTATATAAGGTAGAAAAACTGATTCATCATCATCATCATCATCATCATCATCATTTCTAGGAGGAGACCAACACAAGTAGACCTGTCACCATAACTTCTTTTGCTGAACGATATATAATGATCATATAATAGTATAATAATGTACTGTATGGGCTCATATTGGAGCTTGACCACACACACCTGTAGTGTAAGAGTGAAAGAAAACGTCAGTGTGAGTGAGTGTGTGTGTGCGCGTGTGTGTGCATCCACCTCCTCGTGTCCATATATGGAACCATAAGTCGGTAATGCAATTATTGCGACAGGCCTAAACACAGGTTGTAGTTAGTATGCATAATACGCAATTCAACATGTAAAGCTGTAATGGCCATTCAATCACAGGATGCCCCAAAATACTTCAATAAAACACCTATCAGCAGGATAGGGAAAGTGGTCTAATGATGCATTCAAGAAATGTTGATAAAAAAAAAGAAGTCTACTACTAAGTTGTCATGTTTGGATTATGGACAGACCGATGAATCAATCATCTAAACAAGTGCAACAAGTAACTCCCCAGCTATCAATTCACTTAAAAGATGAGTACTGAACAAATATTTACTTACTTTGCCCTCATTAGCAAATCTAATGCTTGTGGAGATTCCACTGAAATGAAATTCTGATGGGCGCATTTGTCCTCAAGGATTAAAATTAGCTTATGTTGCAGCCACAGCAACCCTTTCTTATGAATAGTGGTTAATTGAGGGTTGATTTCAACCAAACCAGCGTTGGTGATTGTTGGAAAGACCAAAGAGTTTTAGAGTTCTGCTTTGTTTCTTTCTGAGATGCTGGTACTCTAGTGCAACATCCAGTGGCAAGTCAATTTCGTATATATGCCCTTTAAGTCTTTAAATAGCAAATTATAGATTTAGAGGATTTTTCACTTCTATCTTCATTTTGTAACAAAGTTGTAGACAAAAAAGAAACAACAGTGTATAAACTACAAGAGTGAGCAACCAACAACCAAATACTACAGTAGGTAAGACAGTAGATTGTACAGATCCATAGCAGACAGTGCAGTCAGACAGAAACCCTATGACGACATGAGCTAATCTCAGAATCAGATACAGCAGCATCTGCATTCTCTAAACACCACCTTTTGTTGATCCCAACACACTGCGGTGGAGGAACAGGCTTTAGAGACCTTGGGACCGCTAATAAAGTGTGCATTTTAAATAAAGTGCATTACGGTTTGTTAGGTAGTGAATTATCTCTGTCAAGTTTTTTTCTTTTTTGCTTAGGGGCACAACTGGTAAACCATAAATCATAGATCAAGGTTTAAAAGACAAGAGTGTAGTCTATTAATCGCAGTGTCAATACCACTGGAAAGAATCAAATCCCATACTAAATCATATCACAGATTCTTTGAGAGCAGTTGTTATCTCTGGAACATAACTTCATTGTTGCTAATCATTGGAAGCCTATTATTCAGAGGCAACATTCAACTACAAGGTTATCTTGAGATATCAAGTATTCTCATCATTATTCATTATTAGGATTTTCTCTTTATAAGCACTTAAAAGTGTCTTTATCTCAGAAACGCGGGGTTTGTACTTTGTGGTCTAAACATCAGTGTTTTGGAATCTTGGAATTCCTCCACTTTTTCATGACAAAGAAGCAGCAAATAGCAGAGCAAAAATGATAAGTAGTGTTCCTAATACTGCTTATTATTTCTTCCAAGTATCACATTTCTATATTTTTTGGAATACTAAATACTTATACTGAAATAATAACATAATAGAGACATTGATGGGTGGATCACGTAAGTAGAAAAAACATTTCTTGTAATTTAGAGGTAATGACCTTAAAATTACAAGAAGCTTATGTCATTATATCTATGTTACCAGGAAACTGTTTCTTAATTATGTGATTGGCATCTTGGATTAAACAGTAGTTTTCCTGTAACTATGAGATAAGGATATCATAATATGAGATTATGTCTAGCACTTTAAATGTATGACATGAAAAGTCATAATGATGAGCTATCTCCATTTGTGTTTTTCTTTGCATAATGCAAGTCATTTCCGTAAGAAACTAAATCTTTTTCTTATGTTGGTGTGGATTTCTTCTAGCACTGATATTAGAGTGAACACTGTGGTATCGTAACAACAGGAGTTTGTTGCAGGTGGAGGAGAAAGGAAAACTGAGTAAAACCATCTAAGGCCAACTTCCAGGGCCCGAGTCAGGGCTGGTGAGGGGGACCAGGGCTGTTACTCAGCAGGATGCGAGATGCTCAACGCCTTGGTCATCCCTCTGATAGAGGTGGTGTTCCCTCCACAGTCGACATACTGGTACATCTCCTGAGACACCTGCTCCGCGTGACCAAAGTACGTGGTGGTGACGGTCACTCTGCGAAGAGGGACAGAGTGAGGCCACGGACAAAAACCAAACACGGTGAGCTCAAATGTTTAGGTGAAGGATGGACAACTTACTGCATCATGACCACAATGTTGTGGACCTTGATGGTTTGCAGAGTGCAGTAGTCGCTGGAAAAATAGAACAAGTGCTAGTAAATATGGACAAACATGGACGGACATCTGGCTGCTACTCTCTAATGCACTGTTAGGGTTGTTCCATATTATATTGTTCATTGCAACTTTGTACATTAAGCAACTTTTCAGACCCTCTTAGGGCCTTTATATCTAAAAACCGGCTCATTTACAATCTTATTCAGACCATCAGGGAAATGGCAAGAAATATATTCAAATATATTATATTATAATTCATTCCCATGAATGCTGCTCAGAGTAATCGCAGTCCACAGGGTTTTCCTATAGCATAGCCTATATGTTCATAGTTTGTTTTTAGCTTTTAAATATGTAAATAGTTCCTTTGATGTTCTCCCACCCTTTTGTAGGTTTTCTTTTAACCTTTTTAGGTCAAATATAAGATATCCCAGTAGTGAGTTTGTGATTATTTGGTTTGCATTTGCACTGCAAACTGCAGTCATACATTTATTGATCACAAACAAGAAATAGGAACTCAACGAATGAGTAAAAGAACAATATAAAACTGACACACCTTGGGTGATTGCAATTTCTTATTCAGATAGGAAGTACATGATGGAAGTCAGAGAATGAAGTAAAAACTCATTTCTATTTGGGACCCTTGTTGTTAAGTCTGGGACAGCTGAAAAATAAAACCTCTGACTGACGTGTGGAAGCGATCAGAAGAAGATCTAAATCCGTTCCATACTCTGGTTTAGTGTACTCAGTACTTACTACATATAGTTCATCTCATCTGCGATGGTGGTGGGGACCATATAGTCAATCTGAAAATGGAGACAGCAGTACAGCGTGAGCTCGGTACCCACATAGAGGAATGGTTAACTGGTGAACAGACGCTGAGCTTTACCTGTTTCATGTCCAGAGGACTGATGGCAGTGGTGTTACTGATGCGAGATTTGCCGATCACCGTCTTGGCGAACTGCACCTGAGCTGTGATGTTGGCCACCTCCACTGAGTAGTAGTTGTTGTTGGTGATATTGAGAGTGTTCTGGAGGAGGAGCAGCATTGGGAGAGTTCATTAGTATTCAAGCAGTAGACGTGTTTCCTTAACTCATACAACTCAAAAGCAGTGTTTGATGATGTTACAGGTGTGTGTTTGTGGCTGAGGGAGTTTCTGCTAAGCCACTGGCACCACCTGCCAGCATTTAGTGTTTAACTCAGAGATAGCTCGTGTTATAGAAGATACAGACAGCTTCCGCCCCTTTACTGGGATTTTACAGTGTGCTGGCGGCTGGATATGTACGTGACATATCATTTATATCAATCATTGGTACATCTTAGGGACAGGTTGCCGTGCTGTGCCGCCCAAGTTACTTGCAATTAGGGATGTACAATATGGATATTTCAGCCAATACGATAACCGATTAAAACCTGCTTCTAATGGCTAATATCAGTGAGATAAGCGATAATTGCACATTTTTGTATTTTAAATAAATTGTAGTTTTTACACACCCGGTGGCAAGAAAGGCTGAAATGTAGTGAGCTAAGACAGATGATTTAATATTCCATAGCTCCTTTTTAACCCAATCTAACTATTAAAGAACGTCAAAAACAACTTCACAGGAGCATGAAGCCTGTCAAACATTTTCCATAGGAATTCAAAATAAATACATATTATCACTGTCTGGTAATACAAATATTTTATGTCAACACGAAGGTCTATCTAGAGCAAAATGACCTGAAATCATAATTAAAATCTAAAGTAAAATCAGTGTGTTTTACATCTCTAAAGATAGGATATCGTTAAGATTTTGTTTTTTGATCCGGTACTTTAAACTTTTTTTTAGAAACCAAGAGTAATGGAATTTATGAATGACCCAAACCTGCAGGTCTGCTCTCATGATTAGACCCTGAGCAAAAACAAAATAGGTTGGTAAACTGGTATACACTGGTCGCAGACTAGTAATTTACCAAGTACACTAAATGTTACTGTGAAAACAATCAGGTTCCTCTGGCTCCTCCTAGTGCTCCTAATGGCATTTGCAAGAATCCACTGGGCCGGATTGTTTCTCAGATTATGTGTCTCATGTTCTACTGTCAGGATATAGTGAAAGTTTCAGCAAATATGACAAAAACCTATGTTTTATTAAAGTTACCTACTGCAGCTTTAATACTAAGTTTTGGTTCCCATCTCCACACATATATAGATGTGATTTATAGGCTACTTGACTGACATGGTCTCTGTACTATCATCTCTTCCTCAACTGCAGCTGTCCACCAGTCTCATCTTGATCTGTTTTTCCTATGAGAGTTACCCTGGGCATTCATAATTAAATCAAAGATGTGTGATCTTGTTGCAAACTTTCAGTGAATTGCACCAATTGCTTCGTTTGTATAGAGTTATTAGCAGGGGGCTACACATTCACTGCCCAAAGATTGACACCCAGAACCCCAGAACACAGAAAACAAAGGAAATACACAGTGACATAGCAAACTCAGCACCTACAGACCGGCAACCAAAGCACTTTTCTCTGTTCTTTGAGATTATTAACCATTTATCCACCAGAGGACAGCAAAGACACAACTACTGGGCACTATAGAGGGGTGTCTAGTTTCATACATTCTCTCTGTTGGTAAAAAACTGAAAAGATGGTTCATAGGCAGTAAAAATATTGATGTGGAATACTTAGGCAATCCTTTTTCCTAAACATTAGCCATATCCCTTGTGTTGCTGCATCCTCCAGGTTTTGATCAGTAACAGGGTTAAAAGGCATTTAAATCACACTGTAAGCTCCAGCGGTTTCACTGCTCACCGTGATGTTGAGATAGACGCTGCGCTTGTCTTGGTCGTAGCTGACGAACACAGACTTCACCCCGACGTAGGACACATCAATGGAGCGAGGGAAGAGGAAGAAGACGGCCAGGCTGGACAGTAACAGGCAGACCGCCACTGACACTGATACATACAACTTCCTGAGGAGGACACAAGTCAACCACACAATGTCAGCTACAACATGTTACACAGATTTCACTTCACATTTATACATGTACTTTCATTTCTTAATTTCATTTTCAGAATGTTGGTGGTCAGTATACATTCTGTCCAGGTATCAACTCCACCACACCACATTAATCGCAGTGGGTGAAAGGGTTTTGATGAAACTTTTATCGTCCATCTTGACAACCACCAGAGAGACAGTGGAAGCAGTCTGGGAACCCACCGGCTATCGTCTGACACCGATTTAGCTCTGGAGGCAACGACCAGCTTTTCAGGGCTTGCAATGTAGACAGCGGATGTCCAGAAAATGTAACAGAAATCTGGGCCAAGACTTCCTCTACAGTCTCATTAGCAACTTCATACACACAAATGACAAAAAAAAGACACATTTTGGGAGCTATTATTTTAGCAAAACTATTTGCAAATGTGCGTTGAGAGTTGTGTAACTGTATCTCAATCTCTGTGTGTGTAATCTGATGTGTAAATGTGTTGAAATAATCTGTAAATATGTACTGAGATCTGTAAATGTGTAAAAAAAAAAAATCTACAAATCTGTGTTTAAATTTGCAAATGTATTACGATTTGTAAATATGTAGACAAATCTGTAAATGTGTATATAGATCTGAAAATATGTGGCCAAATCTGTAAGTACAGACATATTAATTATTTTATTATTAATTCATATGGCTGAGAAGTATTTACTCCAAGAGGTGTAAATACAGACAAATCATTGGTTACAACTTAGGCGGGACTTTCGTTGGCTGTCGTATTACACAGCTCCCACCTCCGAAGGCCTGAGCGGGGGTTATGGCAGGGTCAGCTCAGGGGCCAAACCCAGCAACAAAACACCACCTTGGCCTCACTGTCGTCAGACTGGTCTCCATCTGTATTCACACTGAGCTCAGACAGCTACAGTAACCAGCTGCAGTGAACTAGCTAGCTGCAACAATAAAGCGAATGTTGTGCGTCCACCAGAAAACAAATCACAAAAGAGAGCAGCCGGAGGACTTCCGAGGAAAAACCACATATTCATTTCTCCAATAAACATGATCCACTTTACCAAAATCAGTGAATAAAGTTTAATGTTGTGTGTTTGTACCATTAACAGAATATATGAGTTTTGTACAGTAATCAGTGAGGCCAGGTCATCAGAAACCAGGTCATTTCATTTTTCCAACCTAATTCTGGACTCATTTGTGTTCTGATAAACAGTAAATTAAGTAATTTAAGTGTCCCATACCGCTATTTTCCTAGTTTTATCTAAAACATAAGCAAATTATTTTTGAACAATGTTGGTGGCTCCGTCAGTGCTTTGCAAAGGACACACAAAGACAAAAGTACTTACGTCCTCCTGGGCCGCAGTCTTTGGTCACTGTATGGAATCAATGCCACAAGTTGATTTTCTTGTCCTGAAACACAGGTAGCAATCAATAGAGTCACCGTCAGCTGTTGGACAGTCTGTGATGCAACTAAAACCTGCTTTAAATGTAACTTCAGGATTATCACTGGCTATTGTACAATCATGTGGCTATGGAAGACAGGCAGCTAGCTCTTCAATTCAATTCAATTTTATTTATACGCATCAATTCATAACAAAAGTATCTCAGGACACTTTCAAACAGAGCAGGTCTAGACCGACCTCCAGGCTCTTCTGCCTGCTTGTGTAACAGTTAGACTGGTGTTACCTCTGGGGATCCTCCCGGTGCCCTGACATGTTGGACACGTCACACTGTCCCGTCCTGTGAACTCCACATAAGGAAACTGGGAGATGTCTCCGCCCTTCCCATCCTCAGTCTGGGTGTCCTCCAGAGGAGAGGTCAGGTTGTCGTGGCCCTCATCGTGGCCTGTCTGCTTAGTAAGGTGGGAGAAAGACTTCCCCATAGTCACACCTGGAAAACACAAGTAAGAATGTGACTCCCATCTTTCAGCTGTCCATACCAGAGTTCAAAGCTGATTGCCACGGAGCAATAGAAAGGCAATCTTTAACGAGTAAACAGTAAGAGCTGCGATAGCGATCGTTAGAAAATCAATCAGCAATCCATTTTGATTATCAAATAACTGTTTTGAGTCAAAAAAGGGCAAACATCTCTGGTCTCCAGATTCCAAATGTGACATTTTGCTGGTTTACGTCTTCGATGATTCTAAAACTGAACTATACAGTTTAGGTCCATTATATATTGTACACTGCCCAAGTTTTCGTTATTTTAGCTGTTTACCCAAACAATTGTTCAGGAACTCAAAAAGGCCTGGACGTCACAAGAAACAAACAGTGGTGGATGATCGCAGGATCCTTTCTATGGTGAAGAAAAACCCTTCACATCATCCACCAAGTGAAGAAACACTCTCCGGAAGTAGGGTGTATTCAGTATTAGTCTACCATAAAGAGAAGGACTTCATGAGGAGCAAATACAGAGGGTTTCACCACAAGCGTCCAAACATTAATCAGCCTCAAAACATAGGAAAGGCCAGATTAGACTTTGCCAAAAAACATCTAAAGGAAGCCAGCCCAGTTCTGAACAGCGTTCTTTGGAAGAGCTGAAACTAAGATTTCAACATGGTCCAGAATGATAACTGTGCTCAGAAGTGATTGGCGCTTCACAGGTACAGATAGGCAGTGGACCCAAAAATACTGCAAAAGCAACCCAGGATTTTTTAAGGCAAAGAAGTGGAATATTCTGCCAATGCCGAGTCAATCACCAGACTCAACCAACGAGGCATGCATTTCATTTTGCTTAAGACAAAAGTTAAAGCAGTACAGGACCCACAACAAGCAACAACTGAAGACAGCTGCAATAAAGGCCTGGCACAAAGGACCCAGCGTATTGGTGATATCATGGGTTCCAGACTTCAGGCATCATTGCCTGCAAAGGAATTCTCAACAAAGTATTCAAAAGCGAACCATTTTATTGATGGTAATGTTAATTTGTCCAATTATTTTTGAGCCCCTTGAAATGTGGGAGACTTTGTATCAAATGGTTGCACATTTTAAACGTTTGGATTAGGATATTATTGTTAACCCCTGAATTAAACCTGAAAGTCTGGCAGTTCAATTGCAGCTCAGTTGTATTCATTTCAAATCCAACCTGTGGTGGCATGCAGAGCCCAAATCATGAAAATGGTGTCACTGTCCAAATATGTCAGGGCCTAACTGTATTTAGGCTGAGACTAACAGATAATCTCATGTACTACTGTAAGGATAGAGTAAAAGTTTCTGCAAATGGGACAAAAAAAATGTCTTCCATACTGCAGCTTTAAGGGTATTATTGTTAAATGTAAGGGGAATGGTTTTGGCTGCAAAACCCCTACAGTGAGACTGAGACTGATGTACATAATGGAAGAAGTGACTGCACAACAAATGGAAAAGATACTTTTATGCAGAGATGGACACCTGGACCTCTGTAGCTGGCTGTTTGAGTTTATAGACAACCTTTTTTTGTCTTGTCTTTTTCTCCCCTACAAGGTTTTACTGTTCATTGAAAACGAAAAAGAGCTTTGTTCAGTGCTCTACAAATAATCAAAATATTATAAAAATCGCTTTAAGGCCAAGTGCAATATTAAATGTGACACAGCATTATAATGAAGAGATTCCCGGCCTACAAATCCTGTTCTCCACATATTTGTTTGGTACAACAAATGTCACATCATCATGATTTATGGTTTTATTCAGTAAAAGTTTAATTTGGAATATAAAAATAATCATCCCCACTAATCGGGAATCAGATGGCATTCTCACTATCTGTCAAAATAATCGCAATATGCTTTTCTTTTTTTTTTTTTACCATATCAAGCAGTCCTACACGATGCAAAAGCGCATACCAAACAACACAATGAAGAGTATTAATGTTACCAGTAATGTAACGTTAGACTAAACATGACAATATGCCTGAATGGTAAGTGAAACAGCTCTGCATGATAAATGAGCTAGGCTGATATGATTTGGTGTCCCCACTGCCAGCCTCTGGCTGACGGACAGTTAGCATAGCATGTGTGGCCTTCCTCGGTACAGCTTCTGTTGGTAACATCTAAACTAACTCCGGTCCACCAACTAAACTGACGTTAGTTAACGTGAAGTGTAGTTAACAGCGCTAACATCAGCTCAGTTTCGGCCTGTGAACTTTAGGTTGGAGCTAGTGGCTCAAACGTGCCACGAAGGCAGCTAACGCTAATAATACACTGGCAGGGGAGGAGTTACTGTCAGTGTCGATGTAGCAAACAACATTACACAACAAACCGAAGCTAACAAGGAAACAAAATGCCTTCTTAACAGAAACTGACGTTAGCCTGCTAGTTAACTTCCAGACAGCTAACAAACTGTCAAAATCTGAACATAAGCCGTGTATAAGCTAACGTTATACGGTTAGCTAGACTACTCAGCTAATGTCATATCAAACACAGTCTGTCTTTAAGAAGTCAGTGTGCGAACTGCTGCAGTAACCTGTAGACAGGGTCAGAGAGAATGAACGTTACCTGAATGTGACTTTATTTACCAGATCACTGCTGCTTGCTACACGCTCAGTTTGTTTATCCTCTGAGAAACAGACATGCGCGGGGATGATGAGTTCAAAAGCGTAGGAGATACCGAACTCCAGTTAAGAAATGCAATTCAGTTCAATTCAGTTGTATGCCACTAAGAAAAAGACTTGTAGAGTCGAGATACTTGGAGAATGAGTGATACATTTGCCTACGCTTTAAGCTGATAAAGGAGCTACTACTTAAAGCTGCAGTAGATAATTTTTATAAACAAATATATATTTTTGTCGAATTTGTTGAAACTTTCACTGTATCCTGACAGTAGTACATAAAACAGATAATCTGTGAAACAATCAGGTTTCTTCGAGAAAGGTAGCAGAATTTATTGCTGTCACATAGGCTGATAAGATGGCTTTTTTATTTAAACAGCACCGATCAAAATAGATTTTCTTACCACAGCATTTTATTTCTTATGTATGGTAAAGTCAGAAAAGTCATAGAATAATCATTTTACTTTTGGATTTGCTGCAGTTTACACTTACACAGTAGGTCTCATGTGTACGGGGAGCAATTTGAACCAAAAGAAAAACAGGAAGAAAAGAAAAAAGAAAACACAACAAGAAGAGCAAACATGTTGTAAATATGTAGTCTGCACTGCAATGCAAGCAGGTTCAAATAATCCTGAAATAACCAACATAATAAGAGAACAGTCTGAAGTTGTCGTTTACTCTATAATTGGATTCATCCACTGGGTGGCAGTGTTTATCCAAGTTCCCTAATGTGTGTGAGGACATCAGAGCTGATCCATTCAGTTATCTGGCAGTGTTCACCTCGTAAGTTATCAAACGTTTATCTATATCACGTAAGATGATTACAAACCTCATGTTTCAACATATTGATTGCTTTTTCTTTTTTTTTTTACAAACTTTAGAAGAAACTGAAGTGAAGTCAAATTGAATTATGTCATTGGCAGATTATTTTTGTTCTTGTTTTATCAAGCTGTGATAAAAGACTAAATGACGTCTCTCCAGTGTGATCTCTAGTCACTTCCAAATATAAATGTAGGCTTATTGTATATAATTCATGACAGGTGCTCGTAGAAGAAGGCTAACCTTGTTAAAAAAGACAGAACTAGATTGTAAATGTAACTAAGTATGAGGACAATGTGAGTGAGATCATTTTTGAGCTTAATTTAAATGTAGAGGAGGACATTTGACTACATGTTGACTCACATTATCTGGTGCTGATTATGCTGTCATTTGCCACAAGGCCTGTCCAAGTAATGACATCACTGCTGCTCAGTCTCCCATGCTCTGTCTTTGGCACGACCAGATTTCAGTTACTGAGATAAATAGGACATGTCAGCACAATATCCCCATCATCACTACAAACACTGACGAAATGCTCTGAAACCCAAATGTGCTGTCAGCAGCAGGAGGACAGAGTCTGCACTCAGCTCACACTCAAACAGACAGGCTGAGAGGACTGGTTTTATTGGGAGGACTGGTTATGGTGGGACATAGAGGCTGAGAGGACTGGTTATACTGGGACATAGAGGCTGAGAGGACTGGTTATACTGGGAGCACTAATATAGTGGGACATAGAGACTGAGAAAACTAGTTATACTGGGACATAGAGGCTGAGAGGACTGGTTATACTGGGACATAGAGGCTGAGAGGACTGGTTATAGTGGGATATAGAGTATAGAGGACTGGTTATACTGGGACATAGAGGCTGAGAGGACTGGTTATACTGGGATATAGAGTATAGAGGACTGGTTATACTGGGACATAGAGGCTGAGAGGACTGGTTATACTGGGAGGACTGTCAACTTCCATGCACTCTTAACCTGTGACTGAACCCACACACTCTTGTTTTTTTACCCTCAGACCTCAGGGCCTCTGTGTGTGCTGAGTTGTAGTAATTCATCAACAATTCAGTGTACATTAAAAATTTAGTTGGGGGGGCCCAGTAGCTCACCTGGTAGAGCTGGCGTGTTTGGCCTTTTACATTACACACAGTTGATTAAAGCTGCAGCAGGTATTTTTTATTAAATGATTTTGTCAGATTTGTTGAAACTTTCACTATATCCTGACAGTAGAACATGAGACAGATATCTTTGAAAAAAGGTTTCTCTGGCTCCTCCTAGTGCTCCTAATGGGATTTGTAAGAATCACGATGTCAAATATCAACTATCAAATATCAGTTGATCAACAACAATCAACTCTTCAAGTCACCAACCCAAAGCATCTTTCCATCTTACTTGGCTCCAATTGGTTGTTTTTATACAAACTATTGACTTGAGCTTTAAAGCTACTCAAGGGGGAAAACTGATTACAAATATTAGGAAGTGTCCTTTTTGACCATTATTTTGTAGCATGAACACCATGGTCCATCTATTCATTTGGTCCAAACCTATCAAGGCATTAAAAGGAACAGACCATGCATGGTCCCATTCCAAATTAAACAGGTCATACAATTCGCTTGAATAAAGAGCTCAGCGATTTTGGCCATACGTTAACATTTTCAGCATATGTTTGGGTAGTATTTATCATATATTCACTGCAGCAGTTTAGCAGTTTTGCTAGTGCAATATGGTGCAGTACTTCCAACTGCCTTTGGTATTTGGTGCAAATATAAACAGTTTTAAAACACTTTAACTGCTTTATGCTTGGGGTATGGTTATCTAACACAACAGAAATATTTAATTGCCAGTTTTAAAAAAAAAATGTACTTTATTATTTATTTAGAAGCCAGTTCAGAGAGTCAAAATAAAATGTGAAAGCCTTTACTTTTCTGAAACGCTAAACACTGAGGCATGGTAGTAATCTAGTTATATAAATAATAAAGTAAGATATTGAATCAGGTCCTCAAAGTTCCTACTTTCTTTTCTACATAATGCATGGCTGTAGTTAAGATCACTGTGTGGAGACCAAGCCAAATCCAAGACCAGGGACAGCTGAATGTGATGCAAGACAAGGTCCCGACGGGGACCAGACCAAATCCTGACTGAGACCAGAACTAAAACCAAAATAACCAACGTCTTTCTGAAATGCTTCTAGTTTCCCGAGGGATCAACGGACATATGGAGTCATAAATCTGTTGGAACTTTTGCCAATATCGTCACTATACACAAGACTGTAATCCCTTCAGCTGTTAGTGGTATTGGAAGGGAAAAAATATCAAATTATGTAAATTGGCAGGAAGAGTTTCAGTCTATAAAATAATATTAAAGGACCATATCAATATTTGGACCCGTTTTTACATCCTTAAGTGCCCACCATCTTTCAAAGCATGTTGACTCCAGCATCTGGACTCCCCAGGAACCTATGCCAGGATCCTGTTTGTGGACTTCAGCTCTGCTTTCAACACCATCAT